TGTTTATCTCAATGAAATATATTGGAAATGTAATTAATCATTAGCAGAAGTACATAGAAAGTAGAAACAACCATTACCTCAATATTGTATATGAGAAAAATAACATTTAGCTATCTCCTCAAACAAAAGTATTTTTATAGTAATATCGATTCACCCCATAATTTTAAACATCTTAATTGCATAAAAGATTGTTTTATTCTTATTTAGTTTCTTCAAGGATAAAATGATAGCTAGAGAGAACTTATGACTAAGTAGGCAGAAAAGCAGTAATTTCCTGTTATAATACGTATACCATGGCTCAGAATATATATAGCATCACAGAGATCTCATAAATTCTAATATCTAATGACAAAGTCTTAGTAAGTTTAAAGATTGAAGAAAGTAATTAGTAACTTAATATACTGACGGAAATTAGCTTATAAAAGGAGAGTGAGATATCAAGATTATCACGAAAACACTGCTAAACTATATAGTTTAGAAACTTCAGAAGATGACTAATCAATTTTACTGTAGTGGAGGCAGGCTTCAGATGTGTAGTTTAAAGTAACTATGAAAGAAAAGCTTGGATTCAAAATGTAGAGGTATAATTTTTACATGTGTGTGCATGCACATTGTGTGTAGACATTGTTTTTTAAATTCCAGGTTAAGACTTGCATGCTCATTGGTCTTGAAAGTACTGTATCATTAGATGTTCTTTTGTTCCTGTTGAAATCTGTTATATATAAACTGGCATGTAATGTAGGCCAACTGCCCTCCAGTACGTCTCTGGAATTTCTGAATAGGTTATATGATGAAAGGAACTTCATAGAGATAATTCATGTTAAGAAATTTAAAATTGGAAGACTAATTTTATTAGTCTGTGTGAAAGCCTACAAACGATCCTACCTGGAATATGAGGCATATAGAGGAAGGAAGCAGTAGACAGACAGCAGTAGAAGGAGAAACCTAAGAGATTCCATCTCCAAGGGACTCTATGAATCAATTGCTGGTTCTGAGACAAATTGGACCATGGACAGAGGAGAGAGACCTGTAAGAGCTACGGGTACCCTCTAGCTGACAGACAGCAACTAAACAGTGATCTCTGTATTACTTCCCAGGAGAAGTAGACTGATTGTGCCAACCACCAGAATAATCTTGGAAACAGATTTTATCTTGTTTGCAATATGAATTTAGCCCAATGATATATTTATTTCAACTTTGTGACCCTGAGCACATAATCAGTCAGAGACAGGTAGTAGGACTTTTCACTTACAGAACTGCTTTGTGCTGCTTAAAATTGTGAAATGTTTGGTAATGTCAACACAGCAGAAGAAAACGAGTACACATTGTAAAAGATACCTGTCACAAATCAATATCTGATGATTCTGTGGAAGGATGGTGAGTCCTCAGAACAGTTGAATGAGTTTAGGACATCAAAATCGTACACTGAAAAAATTTATTCCCTAAGTTACTTCATTTTCTTTATTGTTGTGTTTTATGAACAAACAAACTAACCTAAAATATCTTTATATTTTGTTTAATAGAATACAAGTTTATAATTAAAACTTAGTGGGAATTATTGCATTACTAAGTTTTTCTTCAGCATTATCAAAATTAAACTTAAATTTGTGTTTGCTATAATGAGTATGTATGAATTAAGTTGGAAACATTTTAAAAACTCATTTTTGTGAGAACAGCTTAGAAAAATAAAGATCATTTCAATCACAATAGAGGAAAGTAAGTCTTCGACTTCATCCTCCTCCCCAGCTAGACAAAAGTGTGTTCAGAAATTTATTACATAGAAAATAGTGTTCCAGACTTCTGTGTATAACATGATTAAGCAATATAAAATGTAGAAAATAATTTCACTCAATTGTTCAGTAATGAATATATTTCTAGCATGAAATATAGCTTTAAATGAAATAACTTTCAGTTTTGTACTTTATCCAGATGCACAATATTAAAATTTATGTTGTGGGATTTCTATTTTACATATGATTATTTTCTTGTGTGCTTTTCTTTTTAACTTACTATAGTTTGAATTACTTCTCTAGAAAGTAACCACATAAGGCCAAGGAATGTAGCTGAGTGTCATAGCTCTTCCCTGACGTGTAAGAGGCCCTAGATAAATCCTGGGCACCTCAAAAACTATATCAATAGAAAGAAAAGTGATCAACCACTCCTACTGGTACATTCGTATCTCTCTAACAGTAGAAGATCTACTGGGATAAGTTTTGACATTATACTCCTGGGGACATGACTTCAAACCTAATGTGATACTACTATATATAAAGGAGAGAGTTTTTTTCCTAAAATAGTAGAAATTTTATTGTTAAACAATACAAAAAAAATTAAAAACCTATCATTTCTTTCTGAAATACTCAAGAACATATTACTTTTTTTGATTAGAGTTTTTCAGGTGTAAATAAAAAGAAAATATAGATTATTCACATTTTAACACCATCAGCAGAATCCAGATGTCTCTCAATTATGAAACGCTATTTAAAGTATAAAGAAGAAAAAAGAATTGAAGGAAAAAATGGAAACGAAGCTTTTGTAAATAAAGAGTCGAAGAGAGATTGAAGGGAGAGGAAGGTGCTGGGGAAAAAAGATATATCCAAATTCCCTATGACGAATGTGATAGCAGCATATATGTAAAATGCACCAACAAAACAACAAAACTTATAGTTCTAACAATAAATTACATAAATAAAAGCATAAAACAGCTTCCTATCTGTTCAGGTCAACTTTTATTGCCAAATAAATTTGTACTAAATTCCCAGAAATATACGTGGTAATCATGATTCTCAGTCACACTGGTTGAAGCCATATGTTTTCACTCATTAATTGGAATGGTTTTAATCTGGGTTATTTTATTTTATTGTCTATGATACTACAAATAACTATTTTGAAGAAAATAAGATGGCATAATAGCTAGTGCTGACTTAATATCATCCTATTTTGAAGCCCCTTCAAGTTGTTGTTCATCTGTTTCCATTGGTTCTAACATGTTGTATCTTATTATATTTTAATGTATGCAATAGTATAAGCAAATTTTTTATAGGCAAAGAGATAATATAGAAACTGATGTTCGGTTTCTGTTAGCTGGTTCTAAATACCCTGCAATAATCTCATTCTTGAACGGTTTCACACTGTCTTGATAAGTTTAATGCTATAGTATATGAAGTTAGACTCAAATATTTCAAGGAAAGAGTCACTATGGTAACTACTATCAATGTCAGGCTATCTGGTGGTGAAACACAATGATGCTTAAATTTTTCGATTCTGACCGAAGTTGTTCTATTGCTATGTTCTTTTTTATCTCAATCTCTCCCCTTTTTAAAAAAAAATAATTTTTCGTAGTGTCTTTTAACTAAGGGAAAACTAAATTAAAAATATTGCGATATAGTAACTATTTTGTTTCCCCATTAACCAGATTTGAACCCCTGTATTGTTCTCCACATCTTGTTCTGACTGATTTTATTATATTCTGTTTTACTTAACAGTATCAAGATTGAGGGTATAGGCAACCATTTGGAAGGCAACCAGATATTCTATGATTTCCATTATCGTTTGACTATTATCTCCTTTGGAAGTCCTGTAAGCTCTGCAATGTGGGTTTTCTTGGTCTTCTGTACTGTTTTGTTCAATTCTTTTATACCAGCTGATATAGGCAACTCTTTTCAGGATAACAAGAGGCATAATGATAAACATTGTTGATCACCTAGTAATTTTTTTTTTTTTTTGGCATTATGTACTATGTCCATCCTCCTTTTCTAACTGACTCTGTTTTGTTTTGCACATTGGGTTTTTCTTTGGTCTGTCTTGTTTTGTTTTGTTTTTTCATCTTTTTTTCTTTTCCTCTTCAAAAGAAAAAGTTATAAGAACTGTGGGAGTAATGGAAAGCAAAATGTGTGATTGTTAGCATAAAAAAGAGAGGAAGGAAAGTGATCTAAAGGATATAACTGCAAGTATATTTAAATGTGTAGGATAGAGAACCATATTGCTGAGTTTTTGTTGGATCATTGAACAGAACTGTCTGAAATCTCAATGTATTAATGTCCACTTTGTAAGCTTTAATTTTGTAATCTGGACAACTGTTTCTGAGATGACAATGTGTGATCTATTAACTGGCGAATTCTTACTGCATATTTTTTTCTCTTGAAATTCTGTATTACTTCTAGCCTTTTACTATTTTGCTTCATTTAGTTTTGTTTTTCTCTTCAAAAAAATTAAAAAAAAAATAAATTCCCAGAAATAGAAACAAAATTTCAGCTTGGTGAGCTTGTTAATTTTCCACTTGAGGGTGAGCAACTGGGAATCTATGCTTCTCTTTACATTTTTGCCTCTCGACTAACTTTCAAAGACAGTTCACCATTTTTTGTTGGCTAGTTTGTTTTGTTTTGTTTTTAATGTTAGGAGGCAAAAGAGACAAGTAAAGCAGTATTTATGTTGCTTGGTGGGGGGTTTATCTCAGCAGTATAAGCACCTCCCTTGCAAGCACACAGTCCTGAGTTCCATCCTCTATACAAATAAATAAATAAATAAATAAATAAAAAGATCTTTAAGGGCCTGGGATACAGCGCAGTGACATAAGTGCCTGCCTGGCAAGCACAAAGTCCTGTTTCAATTCCCAGTACTAAAAGGAAAAAAAGTCTACCCAAAAAAATCTAATAAATTTAAGATGCTGGATCACATTACTAATCGCCTAACTTCCTTTTTACTTTCACGTTGTTTTTATTTCTGTTATTCTTCCAATTTCCTGGTCACATCTCCAAAGAAAAGTCAAGGACAGGATTTTCGTATCCCTAGGTACAGTGCAACGAAAGATGAAGTCCACTAACTCTACTATTTATTGTACCTAACTGGTAAACAAGAAAGTGAAACTTGTGACAAAATCTTACATAGTGTGATGAATGTATCTCTCTTCATGCTGGTTCATCGACCATGGACACATTGGAGAGTTCCGGTGTGGTTTACACAAACTGAGAAGTAGTTCCAAGAATATCACCATCACTTACCTTCATAATATACTTTAAACCCATGAGCACTAACTGCAAAGTCACTGGTCAAACGTAGGGAGAACACAGACTTGGTGCTTGTCACTGGTGGTGGCAGATGGAAACCTGTTAATCTAAAAACAAAGCAGAATTAGTTATTAGTAACACTGTCACTATACCTAGTATAGAGAGAATTTTGTCAAATTTCCAAATTTTATGTAAAAAAAAAAATATATATATATATATATATATATATATATATATATATATATCCTGCCACTTAGAAGCCATGCAACAAAAGCAATTACTGTACATATTCAATAATGTAAGCATTATTTATTATGTCTATCATATTTATCATTGATCTTACAATTGGGATAAATTGAAACTTTGGGAAATGAGTCATGAGATTATTTTTGAGTATGTTTTATGCCATCAGTTTTAAAAACGTCATTTTTGTCAAATGAACTACTATTATGTCTTGCTAAAATACATATAATTAGACAAATTTAAGAACAAAGAAATGCTACTTAAATATAAAATCTTGAAACACAAACAATTACAAGTTGGAAGTGATTTTTTTTCTCTTTATATTCTAATGTTCCAGTTTGTTCTATGAAATTGTACAGAATTTTATACTGGTTAAAAATTTCACATATTTTTTAACAAATATTGCTTGGCACTGTGTTTGTAATTTATTACTTGTTTTGATAAAAATCACTGCATATAAGCCACAAGCTTAAGTTATAGGAAAGGTGATTTAAAGTCACATATTTCTAGAGATAAAAACAATAAGAGGAAGAAAATATGCATTCATGGAACATTACCTTTCTAAACTCCAATGAAAAGTTAGCACGAATTTTAAAATTGCCTTTACTATTCTTTTTTAGATATGCTTAACCTTCTTAATTGTTGTCTTAACATGTTGATATGTATCTAAGAATTGCATATAATGAAATTGCTATTTTTCATTTACTGAATAATACTAAATATGAAATATGTAAGATTAATTGATACTGACATTACGATGTATTTTCATTATTTAGTTTTCAAGTTTGTTTTTCTCAGATCTGCTTTGACTCTAAAAATTATTGTGAATGCAAAGAAATTGTGTGATGTAAACCTACCAATATTAAACCTACTAACTTTAAAAGAAAAATGTGCAAAATCATATCTCTTCCTTAATCTTTAAAAATCTAGAATAAAACTATGAATTGTTAAATAAATATCAGTTTAAGAAAAATTACAAAATTTTCCAAAATGAGAATTAAATTTAGTAGGCTAATATTGATAGCTCTATTCCCCAAAATGTCTTTGTAATTTAATAATTTTTTGACTAAAAGCAGATCTGAGAAATACAAACTTGAAAACAGCTGGTAAATAATGAAAATATGCAGGAATTTCAGTACTGAATAATCTTACATATTAATTGCATTGTAATTTTGTACAATTAATGCCTAACTTAACAGGAAGCATCTATATTCTCATGCTTTGTTTTTTCATATTTTTGCAATGTATTAGTTAATGAATGTGAAGAACACCTGAACTGAAACAGATGTGTTGCTAGAAGAGAGAAGAAATGGATATCCTTCCTTCGTGATGCACATCAAACCTACAAGTTAGCTGTCATTGAGAATTTAAAACAGTATCAGTAAGCATTATATACTCTGTACCACTGCAGTCCATTGGTTTACCTTGCCCTTGCCATGCATCTTTATTCATGCAATTTTTAAATCATCATGTACGGGTCGTTTGAAAAATGTTCATTGCCTGAGTTACAGAGCTCTTCCAAATGTTGACACATTTCATTAAACAGCATCAAAAAATCACATTTATTTTTATTGCTACCGATCATATCTGAAAGATATTTAAATGTGAGGAAACTGCAAATGTTATGTGGCAGGTTGAAGATTTCTTAATGTTTATTTTTTTCTTGAAATGTTAGATTTATCATGCTGTTATTAAATGTTGTTATTTTTCTTTAGTATCAAACCAGCAAATTTTTAAAAGTCTATCTCTCTGTTATGGATTAAGAACTGATGATCAACTTAATGCCAGCTGATTACATCAGCATGTCACTGAGCGTAGTTATCCCACAGGAGGAGAGTTGCCAGCATAAATTGAGAAGTGGAGGAGAAGCTATTGCGTTGAGGTGTTGAGGCATTGAGGGTTCTCCTATGAGTTGTTGTCTGAGCTGTTGGTTCTCCTGGAGAAGCTTTGGTCCTCACATCAAGCATTGCTTCCTGGGTCCAGAGCGGAAGACATGTGCAACTTGGTCTCCAGGATGAACTCCTCACGCTGGCGTCCTGGCATGTACCCAACTGTGCTTGTCATTGGAGGAGCTCAGGGCCTCCGTGTCACTGAGGATGGCTGTGGTGCTTTGCAGGACAGCTCTGGTCTTTGTTGTGAGTATAACTTCTTGGCTCCAGCGTAGAACCCTCAACCTACCAGCACAGCTCCTTCACCCTGCTGGCATAGACTTTCTGGCTTCTACCACTGACCTTTGGGCCTTCCTGGCACGGATGGTAAAAGAGACTGGCATGAGTCCTTCTTGTGGGCTCTGGACCTCCAGTTGGACTCGTGGGAGGTACTGTCATGAGTTCTGTGCTTTCATCTGGACTCATGTGGAACATTGCTGTGGCATTTAGGCCCTTACCTAAATATTCTCTGTCTTTGGTGTCATGCATAGATTTCCTGCATTTCCTTGTTAATTCCTGGTGACCATAATAAAAATAAAATTATAAACTCCATGTCCTGATTCTAATTGTTCTCTGCACAACCCTTGACTACAACACTACTTACCTACCTATCTACCTATCTACCGACCTGTGGAAATATTTACCAATACTTATGTTTAATGACACACAGTTCACCTGTCAGTCCTTAAGGCAGTTAACAAAGGTATTCCATGGAAAACGAGGAGTACTTCAGGGGGAACTCAAATAATTCAGTAATTGTTTCTCTTTGAAATAACAATCACTTGTTTGATGAGCACAAGGGGATTAAATGCTTGTTTCCTGTTTCTTTGATCTATAAAAATCCATATGCTATCATTGTGCATACGCTATCATTTATTTACTCATTCTAATGTGTGTCTATAACTTGTCTAGTGTATTTCCATCAATATTCTTCTAGAAGGCCTCTGTTACCTGTAGTGTAACAGTTTCAATGGACTTTAGAGTATATTTCAGGATTTTAATTTTTCTCTTCATGCTATGTAACCTGTATCCTGTTAGGGATATAATGAAACTATTTTCTAAATATCTTTGCAATTTTTTGCTTTGGCTCAGGGTTAGAGGTTTATCTCTTAAATTAAAAGTACATGGTGTAGCTGTAGTTATATTTGCTTACCAATGCAAATCTCTTCTTTTTATAGTCAGATAGCGTTCGTGGCATGAATTTAATCCTTTGAAATTCCTTGAGATTTCCTTTATGGGTCTGATATTATAAAGTTTACTGTGATTCTGGTTTTCTTATAAAGAACAAGTGTACAATTTTTCTCTTCTTAGTCTAACTTACCTCAAAACTGAACAACACCAATTGTTAAGTCACGGTTATGTAGGTCTGGGAAGCCCATACCTCTGCTTATTCTCTGCTTAGTCTCACAACGGTAAAACAAAAGTGCTGGCTGAATGGCAGACTGGAGGCTCAGAGCAACCTCAGCCTGTACTTCAAAGATTACAAGTGTTGCTAGAATTCAGTTCCATGCAGCTCTAAGACTAAAATAGCCTTGCTAATAGTTAATGTAATTGCTCTGCGTCCCCAGCATCTGCGTATTCCTCCTTGGCGGTGGTCCTGCCTCTTTGGAGCACCAGGGGCAGATCTCCTCACTCCTCACCTGCCTCTGTGGCCCTTTAGCATCTTCTTTCTGGTGTGGCTTCTTCTCTGCTGTAATATGCTCATGTAAGTAGAGTGTGTCCCAGTGGATAACTTAAATATGTTCCTTCTGAAACATTTGTAACCTTAATTCTCCACACACAGGTTCTTATGCCAAGGGATAGAATGTAGTCACAGGTTCTACGGGAAACCATTCTGCCAATTATGATAGCTATTCAATATATCTTTTGCATACACTTATTAATTTTGTGAAATAGTTTATAAGTTGGCTGTACTTATAAAGTCATATCTGCAACTTAAGGAATGTACTTGTCAATATATCCCAATACGACTATGAATTTTTGTATTGTTTCATTGTACCTGAGGTGCTTCTGACAACGCAGATCGTGTACGAAGCCCTCCCTAAATACCTGCTTAACTAATAAATGGAGGGCTAGAAGAATGTGAATGTCAGCTGAATCCTGCTTATTAAATCAAGAATTGTCTCAAGGATGCAAAGGAACCACAAATGGTAAGAAAATTTATATAGTTTATAAAGGGCCTCTTGTACCATTAAACATATTTCAGATAGATGTGCATAAGTTATGCAATCTTCCTTTTATTTATGAGATTAATTATGTGAGAAAGAAGTGACTTTTTATGAAAAAGAGTCATATTCCTAGAACATTTTCTAGAACCTATTTTCAGGTGAAACTAATAAATTTGTATGTTGAAAATATGAGTTATAAATTTATATGTGTATATGCATTTCACCTAGACCAACTTTGTCTAGGTAATATAAAATCATAATATTTTATGCATAGCAATATTTTTCCATATAGTCATTTGTACTGATGTGGGTGAAATTTAGTGTTTTGTGTATATTGTTATTACATTATCATCTGCATTGCCTTCGCATTGATGCATGCTGAAATCACATAGCAAATGACACTTTTTCTTTGAAAAAGTACCGCAGTGCAATTGTATTTTCTCTGACTTCTGTGAAAGAAATGACAGTTTAGAAATGATCAGTAAATTGTTTAAATTAATACAGCTGACAAGCAATGGAGCAAAGATACAAACCCATAACTTCTGACTCCAACCCATTTCTTTTCTCACTATGGATATTCCCACGAGGGAAATTACTTTTCTGTGAAGGTAAAATGCATTTCTAATTCATCTCTGTTTCTCTGTAAGCCCATAGAACTTTCTTGACAAGTGTATTCCTTTGATAAACGCATAATTTCATCCACAGCATAACTTTAAGTACCCCAGGCTGACAGAGATTAGATCATGAAAATTACTGAGCTATAAATGA